TTAATTATGTTGATTTAAAATGTAGAAATACCGAGCTCGTAAAGAGCAACCAAATTGATATATTAGCAAACATATAAGTTGAGAGTTCAACTCGTAAATTACCCAAAAATGAAGACAACTCAATTTATTACAAGCCAAAGCCGAAACCCATTGTTAACATTGCTCTGTATATAATATTAAAGACAGTAGAGATAATCTATACTAACAAGACCAACAACAAGATTATTCCGTTTTCATTTCAATTATTCCAGTTGATCTCTCGAATTTCATCGAAAGTATCTTTTCGACCATTTAAATATTGCAAGTTAACTGAAGCTTCCTTTAAAGTCTCTCGAAGAAATCAATCGTTTTCGCCTAATTTTATCTATTAATTGTGTGAACTTGTTATAGTAAGATTCTAGACACCAAAAAAGCTGTGTATTTGGTTTTCGATTTCGGAACAAACCTCATTTCCGGTAGTAGTCGTCTGGTGCCATTTGCTTGCAACACCAGAACTGCAACAAGTTTCCTCCAACTTCGCTTAACGCAACGTAAAGCAATACAAGCAATAACAACGACAACCACAGCAGGCAACTTCAAAAGCAACAACAACAATGGCAAAAATGTCGACAACGTCAGTAACATTGTTAATAATTTTTTAATACCCACCATAATTAAGATGAAGGCAATTTGCCATTTGTTGTTTTTGCGTAAATGAAATGAAATTAAGGCGACTGAAAAAAACACAAACTGATGCAAGGCGAGAGCTGTGGGGTTTGGTACAATGAAAAATGAACTCAACGTAAAAACAAAAAAAAAATCATCTTGCCACATAATATCGCCCCTCAGCGCAGTGCCTGATGATTATTGGCATTTCGTGGACATGCATAAGTACAACTTGCATTATAATTAATTTATAATTAAATACGCTGCCAATTTCAAGTTGCATGCAGCTGACGGGGCGACCGCAACAAAAACTTAAGCCACAGCAGCAACAACAATAACAACAACAACAACAACAACAAAAACAACCGCCCGACACACAAATTGCTTTGTAATTTATTTGCAATTAATTTTGAATTAATAAAAGAAAAAATAATACTAAAGAAAAACCACAAATTGTTCGCATGGAATTTGGGTCTTGTCTTCAGTTGCACTTACACTTGAGACTGGCCGTTTATGTACATAAATACTGCATTTTTATTGGCGAGGAGGAGGGAAGGGAGGCAGTCGAAGAGCCTGTCAAATGTCAGCCATGTGAAAGCGATGGTGAAGGCGTGTCGAATGTGGGATTTAAGCTGGGAACCTGCTGCAAATGGCAGTAAAACGGCTTGAAGGCTTCCCATAAGTAAGTTGGCGATGTAAGTTGAGATTAATTAACTTTTGGCGAGATAACTGAATTAATTGATAAAAAGCTATTCACGCAACTAGATTTATTGATTGATTAATTGAAAATAGCGTTTGCCAATCAGCTCATTTTAAGCCAAATTAATTGCTTTCCTTCGATTTGCCAATTAAAAGTATTTTGAAGGAAAAGTTGTTCAAAATATTTTCATCCTGCTTGCAAAGATAGATGCATTTATATCATATGCAAATTTAAAGATTCAAATATTTACAATGAACATTTCTACAAATTTTGAGCCGTTCCCATATGAATTTTCTTCTTTCAGTGCTCTTACATGAATTCTGATCAAGAATGGTGTGGCCAAATTTATTTGCAGGCTTTATCGTGCTGCTCACTCACCTCATTTGCAGTCAATTTTCGCTTTGCCTCACTGTCATAAAAATTGTAGCAGAGAACATTCTTTTTAATAAGCAATTATTGTCTGCTCCTTTTAAAACGTTGACGCGTCGAGCATTTTAACTAATTACAAACGATTTACATGCCAAGCAACTATGGCACATAGGAGAGGGTAAGCGATGACGGGGGGTATATAGATACACAGAACTGGGCCCAGAACCAGGCCAGGCCTCCGGTTCACTTGTGGATAATCCCGCTTTAAATATTTGCAACATTTAAAGTAAATGCAGAAACCGGTTGGCAGTTTAGCTGCCAGTTGTTGCATTGTGCTCTTGTGCCGATCATCGTGATGATGACGTTGCAGATATGAATGCGAGTACAGACTAACACTCACACGAACACACACACACACACACATACACACACTCACATTCACACACGCACACCCACCCAGCAGGGCAGAAGAAGAGAGGCATCAAGCACATCAAATCCGCTTGGCACGCACGTAGCCACGCTGTATGTCAAACGTGGAAGCCACCGATCAGCAAAGAGGCATCCTCATTGCACATGCGCAACATGTGCCCCGCAAATAAGCGATTGCAAGACTAAGTGTGAATGTGAGTATGAGTGCGAGTGCGAGTGCGAGTACCGAGTACCGAGTATGAGTACAAGTACTATAGCTTGTTGTAATTAGCGACTTTAGACTGTAAATTAGAGTACATATGCGCTTTGCTGTGCTTTCACCAGTGCCCGATCGGGCCAAGCCATTAGACGGCTGTCTGTGACTCATGCAACGGACTGTTTGCCGCCTTGGCCTCAAAACCAGCCACACTGTTGCCAAAGCCGTAAAATTGCGTAGCCATTGGGCTGCTTGGCTGCCCCGATCATAATTAGCTGTAATATATTGTAGACTGCACCCAGCACAGCTTCCCCAGTTGTTGTCTACCACATATACTCTTACTAAGAGTCTGTCGAATATGATTTTAACTTAAGCTTAAAAGCGGATAATAAGTCGACCAAAACAGTCCAAGATTTTCTATAATTAATCATTTGAGATTATCGAAAATTAAAATTAATATTCTTATTATTGTTATAAATAGCTGATCATATCCTTGAAAGTGTAGGCATATTTCGATGTTTTGCGTCGTGTTGAATTTTCAGCTCATTTTTTCTGTGGCCTTTAATTCGATCTTTATAGCACCTGGATTTTCTTGTTTCCAGTCGCCAATATAAATTTATTTCTTTTTTTCTTAAGTGTGTGTTGTGCTGATTATTTTGCGCTTATTATTTGCTGTTGTTGTTGCTGCCGCTGTCGTTTCTTTTTTTGTTAAATTTTCAATGAATGTTGTTGTTTTGTTGCCAATGCTGTTGTTTTTGTTGTGCGTGTGTGTGTGTGAGTGTGTATTTTGGCCCAGTCGATTACTCATTTGACTGCATGTACATAAATTTTATGCACTTTTTTGATTGCTTTATTTTTATTAATTGCTTTTTACAACATTTTGTTTGGCGTTTTGAGCATTACAACTCGCATTTACGTTGCATGATTTGCTCAAGGGGCAGGGGCAGAGGTTGGGGCATGTGGATCGCCTGAGAGGGTGTCACTGGCTGTGTGTGCGTGTCGTGTGAGTTAATGCGGACAGAGACAAAGCGACCAAAGCCAAAATGCGGTCATAGATATCGATTGAATGCGTTTTTATTCTTGTTATCGAGCATGACATGGCCATCGAAAGGAGCTCTACTTAATTGACGATTATTTTATAATTTGATCTCTTTGAGCACAGAATATTTATCTTCAATTATTCAAGAGGTCTCCTGTCAAAAAGATACGCTGCACGCAGCCATAGCATTCACAAGGATCACTTTCTTGACTTTGCAGATTTATATATTGTTTTAATATTTAAGATCTGAAAGAAAGTGATTTGCTTTTGCTGCGTCCAAAGACACGAAAGGGTATGTTTCACTTGATTCTTGACTTTACATCTGGGTAAAGTGGTCTTCAAGTGAGGCACAATCGACTAGGGCACTTGTTTAAAATGAGAAACCATGGAAATTTTAAACTTTCGGCCTCCGAAAGAGCTCTCATGACTTGCATGCCCAGCTCTGTCACACTTTAGAAATTTCACAGAGATTTCAAGCGTTTTCATTTTAAAATTCTGATTATACGTTCTACAGACCTAAGCCCTTTATGCTGCCCATAATTTGTTCAGTTTTACGAGCAAAGTAAGAACAACAATCGCCTTAGACGACAAATTAAACAAAAATAAACTTGAAAACCAAGACCCCAAACACTGATCCAAGCGATTCAGCTATCAACAGATCGGCGTCTTGCCTTAAAGCTGTTGTTGTTGTTCTTGTTGTTGTTGTTGTTGTTGCTGTTCTGGCTATTCTCGTTGTTATTATTGTTGCGGTGGTTCTGCTGATTCGCTGAGCAACTATGCGCCAGCAGGCACAAATCGAGCCCAAGCAAAGCCGGCGCGAACTGAGCCAACGAGGACATGCGAAATTTTTATTTATTGCTGACAATTGCACAAACTTTTTTTGTGATCTCATTTTTTTTTTTTGGGTTTTTTTTTGGTTTGTTTTGTTGTTGCTGTGCTCAGTTTTTATGGTCATTAAAATTGGGACAAATATTTGACCGAGTGTTGTGCGCTGTTGCTGTTGCTGAATTGTTGTTGTTGGTGTTGGTGTTGTATTCGCTTTTCTGGTTTTATTTTGTATTTAGTTTGGTTTTTTTTTTTGGTATTTTTGTGCACGACATGGCTCGAGCCTGCGGCTGCTCTATAACATTTTGTAGCGCAAAATGTTTGACGCCAAGTTTGCCCTTGACGCTTGTGGCTACAGTTGCAGGAATTGTCACAGTCAGTCGTTGTTGGCGGCAGCGGCAACATTTTGCGGCAAGCTTGGTGATTTCATGATTAGCTATTCAGTCGGTGCCGCAACTAATTAATGATCGCCGCAACGCTTGCATGCTAATTAAATGCAAACCAATTTAAGTATCCAACTAGAGATGTGCGCGTGATCACATTATTTGTCACGCCAATCACGTGAAGAACCAAGGCGAGAACATTTTCAATCTATCGTGAATTTAGAATCGAATTACGCGTGATAAATTATATGATATTTTATATATATATATATTATCACATTATGTGCTTTTTTCAGGTAAATTATCACTTGGCCTTTCTTTTGTGAGATCCTTTGACTACAGCCCAAAGGAGAGCATCACGCAGTTGCTCAGATTAGTATTAGAAATCAATTCTATTTGCATTTAGCGACTCACCGACTCGGTTTTGATGTTGAGCGCCAGCACATGCGACGAACTGTTGGAGGAGACAGATGGGGGTGATGCTGGCGTGGCACCGCCACATGGTGACTGCGCCGCAGCGGCCGCCGGTGAGCAGCGGCTGGACAGCAAGGGGCTGGCCTCGCGCAGTGGGCTGGCAAGGCTGGCGACACCGATGCCAATGGTGCCGCTTTGGGAGTAGGGCGAATCGGGTGACTTGTTGGCATTTGTGGAGCTATTCGAGGGCACTATGGCCGCTGTGGTGCAGCTGGTTAAAGTGCTCGCCGACGAACTGGACGAGGTGGATGAGCATGACGAGGATGAGGATGATGAGCTGCTGCTGCTGTTGGCATTGTTGTTGCTGCTGCTGCTGTTGTTGTTGTTGTTGTTGTTGTTGTTACTGCTGTTGCTGGAATTATTGTTGTTGTTGTTGCTGTTGTTACTGTTGCTGCCGGTGCAGATCAATGCTTGCATTTTGGTATTGATGTTATTGTTGTTGCTGTTGTTGTTATTATTGTTGCTGGTCGTGCTATTGTTGTTGTTGACATTAGCACCTGGCATAATGCTGCCATCGCAAAACTCTCGCTTTACAATGTTGCTGGCAGTGTTGCTGCTGTTGTTGCTGCTGCCGGGCGTTGCCACAATAGCCGCCTCGCAGGGCAACACAGTGCCCAGCATCTTGTCTAGCTTGTACTGTGACGTGGTGGATTCAGCGGCACCGGCAGAGTCCTCGCAGCCCTCGGCCATGTCACTGACCCGCTCGCATTGTGTGCCCCGCCTGCAAGTAAGAAAAGTCAACAAAAATTAAGTCACCAGCAGCTTTAAAATATCTTCAGAAATAGGTTAATTTAACAGACTGTCAAGTCTGAAAATATATTAGTATCCCTACAGTCTGAATAAATTTGAAATATAAAGTTTACGCTTTCTCCATCATTTTTAGATTCTTACAAATTTGATATTTACTATCAAAAGTTCATAAGAAATCCAAAAACTTTTAGTATTTTTGTATGTATTTGTTAAAGTTCTTCCCTTATTTTTTCACTCGTATAAAAAGTCTCGGTATTCAAAAAATCTTAAATATGTAAATAATAATTATAAAATAAGTAACTATCAAAAATAAGAATTTTGAAATCATTTTTATATGCTTTAAATACTCTAGAGTTAAAGCATAGATAATACCTTAGATAAATTATAATTATCACTTCGACACCTTAATGGACTCTCCATAATTGTATTTCTTGTTAAATATATATGCGATATGTGTTTAAGGAATACAGCAATTCAGCAGTTAAATGCAGCCGGTTGTGCAAACAACCCCTTTCGGGGTATTTTGGACATTTTGGCAAAATGGTGACTGTACCTGCGCCTTTTGCCTGCTTTGGCTCATAATTTAGAATTTACATTTATCGAATATATTTCGTGCACTTAAAACTCATGCCCAGGCGCATTAATTTCATTAATTATCCCTGTTGCCATCCGGTTGACCACGGCAACAACAGCAGCAACAACAGCAACCAGAATAGCAACAAACAAATAACAAAAGGCAAATGGGAAGCATGAAGGGGTGGCGTATGGAAGTGGCAAGGGGGGGGCAGGAAGCATCGCACACATGCCGCATAATTTTGCAAATGCAAAACGTTGCTTCGACTCCGAGTGCGAGTCCGAGTCCTGTTCATGTCCTTGCAAGCCACGACGTCCTGCACTGGACAATGACTGTATGCAAAGCAGAGGAGGGAAGGGAGGTGGTTCGCAAAGTAGCCACAGCAAGCACCGTATGGCTTATAGGGGATGGTTAGGGCCACGAGTATTCGGCTCGGACTGTCGTAATCGAAAATTTTACACCTACTCCGCATTATAATTTATATGCCTGGCGGGTGGCCTGGGCAAAAGTCTCTCATGAGAGTGAGTCACGTCTGGCAAGAAAGTTTCACTTATAGTATATATGAAGGTATATATATATATATACATATGCAAGAGTCTTTTGTGTGTGGATAAGATCAAAGAATATACGAAATTTTGTTCATAAATTATGCAAAGATGTGTCTAAGATTTTAGGGATAAAAGAAGTGGGCAACTTATGAGCGACTTGGACGCGTTCACTAAATGAGTGTATTGAGAATACTTAAATATCGCCAAGGGACACATAAAGTTAAACAATACTATAATAATATGCTCAAAAATAGCTTGCACCTGCTAATAGTAATGAGATAAATATGAGAATAGATTTAATGGATGTTTCTTATCTGATCTCGATGAAATTTGTACAGTTGATCAATAATTTGTCATGTGATCCTGGATGTCTACAAAATGGGCATTTAAGTTTAAAATATGTTTTTAGATACCTAAGCTGAAGTTCCAGACTCATTTTATTCTCATAAGCTGCACGAGCTTAGCTGCAAATTGTCTGAGCCAAGTAAAGGCGCCTAAATGTAGGCACTCAACAAAATGTTACCCAAATCGTTTGCATATATACCTTGACATTTCTCTCAAATACACACACACACACACACACAATTGTAGATTGTGTTTTGTACACAGAGAGGCGCCTGGTCGAAAATTGAACACTAAATGCGAAGTAGGGCCTCGATTCTGGACGTATGCTTTTGCTGTCTTCGACTTTACATTGCCAAGTACACAAAATGGGCGTTGATTTTAATGCATAATGCAAGTGAATGTATGTGTATGTGTATATGTGTGAGTCGATGTTGTGGCTGTTGTTTTTGTTGTTGTTGTTGTTGTTGCACAACTATGCAGGCAACTCGCCTACGAATGTCTGCAGTTGTAATAATGCAAAGCCACCATGACCAATGCAACAGCAAGCAGCAACAACAACAACAAGCATTCGAAGCTACTGACCTCAGACTCAGAGTAGGAGAGTCGGAGTCGGAGTCGGAGTCAGAGTTGTAGCTGGTGTCAGAATGGGGAGTTCGAGTCGGAATCGGAGTCGTCGGCAGACGGCAGCAGTCAACGAACGCACTTTTCCGGCCACGTCGCCGACATCGTTGGTCATAATGAGCCACAATCAGAGAGAGAGAGAGAGAGAGAGAGAGAAAGAGAGAGAGAGAGAGTGAGAGTGGTGGATTGGGCTAGTACGAGAACGAGAACGATGCCTTGCAAGTTGTGTGCAGGACATGTAATGCCTGAGTCAGGGCAGCAGACGCTATGTTGTAGATTTTGGACAGGAAGTGGACAGCAACCCGACCAGGAGCAGCAACAGCAGCAGTGGCAGGAGCAGCAGTGGAGCAAAGAAGGAGTAATAATTAATTTTGTACATTGCATGCAAATGTCTGGGCCATGGCCGTAACCAAGTGCTGGGACAGGCTGGGGCATGTGGCATATGCATAAGCAGCAAACAAAGCACAACACGAATGCACAGCAATAGCAACAAAATAGTTTCAAAAGCAGTGAGAGAAAAAGGGGCAACTACTTCAAGAACTAACCAGGATTCGCATTGTCTATGAAGAACATGTCAAAGAAATTGTGCTTTAAGTTTATGTGTGTGTGTGTGTGTACCACATAGAGATGCGATCATTTAGATGAGTGCGAGCGAGCTGGCGAACAATTGTTGCTGTCTGCTGCACCTTGGCAACATGTTGTGAAAGTTCGTCGTAAACATTGGCAAATTGCAGCGACAAAATGTGCCAGCCAAATTAAGTACAATTTGTGCATATTAAAAGTCTGTCTAAATTGCACAGGCGAGCAGCAAACATGCAGCCGCATGCAACAGAGCTTCCTGGCAGCAGGCAGCAGGCAACAGCAACAGCAACAGCGACAGCAGCAGCAGCAGCAGCAACAGCCACTATGTTGCTGCTGCAAATCTAATCAATAACCGACAAACTGGTAGAATTTCGTGTAGCACACTAAATAGCACGATTAATTATCGCTATGGCCAGCCAGCTATAATTCAAATCAAGCGCTTGAGTATTTTTTTTTTTTTTTTTTAATGTAGCAGCAATGGCAACAACATGCAACATCTGCAACATGCGCTGGTCTATCGCATATAACGCATTACAAAACCGGTCTAATTATACTCATTTTGCTGCTGCCGCAACGCAAGCTTGCAACATGTTGCCGCTGCTGCTGTTGCTGTTGCTGCTGTAAAATCTAGCTATAAATTGCAATCTCCATGCAACTTTCTATTGCTAAAAATTTATCATTTGAGACACTTAACCGGGCAATGTCTTGGTCAACGTTTTGTCATGCCTCATGCCTCATGCCTCACGACGAAGCCGGCAATTCGTAGCCAATATTCAAATTAATAAAATCATCAATAATTTTTGCATAGCTGCAAGATGCCGAACATGTTGTTGCTGCTGCTACAACTCGTTGTAATTAATAGTCAAACTTAATTGTAGCACATTCTGTCATCTATTCAGAGAGGTATCGGCTTCAAATGTGGCACAAAGCAATTTTCGATTAGAAAACTCTGCGTCCGGCTACAATTTATGCAAGAGGCAATTTAATTGGCTTCGGATTTGTAATTAGCACAGAATGCATATTAAATGCAAAACAGGCGACTACTTTAAGGAAGTGAATATTGCCAAGGGGCAGTTGAAGAGGCAGAGTGGCGGAGGAGAATCCGCAAAGTGTTGCAACTTTTTTGGCAGTTCAACTTTTCGAGTGCCGGCCTGCAAAAATAATCAATAATGCGCCTCATGCCACAGGGGAGGCCAGCACAACATTAAGTCATTCAGTTAAAATTATTTATGCAACATTTACTTACGCACACACACACACAAGCACACACACACATATCCTGGCACACACCCACAGTCTAATAACACACACGTGAGCTGAAAAGTTTTCTGGTTGAGTTGTTGTTGGCTATTGCATTGTTTTAGGGTTGTTGTTGTCGGGGATGTTCATGCACTCACACGTGTGTGTGTGTGTGTGTGTGTGTGTGTGTGTAAACGTGCAATTTTCTTAAAAATTACACACGATTACACATGAAATACAACCGTGAAGGTGGAACATTATGTAAGCCAGATAGAACGGACTGAGGGCCGGAGTGGAGCACACAAGCGATGGTAATGAAGGAATAGCAGCAAGGCTCAAATAGTTTTTCAAATTAAGCCCCGGATCATTAAAGTTTCGAGGGTGCATTAATAATCGGATTACTTAGATTGCAGTGGAAAAATACTTAATACTAGCAGAAATAAAAGCAAAGGAAATTACCCATTAAACCATTTTTTTGTTTGCACAAAAATATGAATTAAGGCCGTGTTTGAGTTTCTCCAAGTATATTCCTGATGCCAATATTCAAAGTTGATAAATATAGTTGCATAGGTCAAATGTAGCAAAGTCGAAGCCCTACTTAAAATGCTAAGTAATTCAATTAAATTAAATGTATTAATCAACATTCAGCAAATGCATATGGAGAATCTTTTAACAACTCTGAGAAGAAACTCGTTTGCCACTATCAGCTGATAGATCAGACAGACTAAATTACACTAGTCCATACGGGGACCATTATCAAACACATATCACGAGTCATTACATTACATTACATATGTACGTGATCCACTGGGCCAATGCAAATCGACCCCGACTTAATGCTAACAAAATGCATTGCAATCCGGTCAGTGGATTGTGTTGTAGATTTTGTTGTTGTATTTGCTTGCTTTTATACATATACTATTTTTTTTTTCTTTTGTCGACTCTACCACTCAAATCATTAAAAATAATAATAATAAAATTTGCGTGATTCAAACTGAGCACGCACTAGGCGATGCCAATAACAATACCAGAGGCGTACTCAATATAACAATAACAACAACA